TATTATTGTCTTCTACTGGAGTTGATTGGACCTTGCTTGGAGCTTTACGTTTACCTGATGAATATATAAAATTACAAAAATATGTATATATGAAATTATATTTTATTTTCAATTATTCCTTAATTGTTTAGTTGGTAATGTAGTTGGTAATGTGTTCTTGAAAATGTTTTATTATTTGATAAACTAATGTCTATTAAAATAAGAGTAGTAATATAGAAAATGAGCCTAGATCTGTTCTTCCTGTTGTTAAGAAGTATTTTTTGTTGTTCATTGTTTATTTGTTTCTATAAATTTTCATCATTTTCTTAAAAATATATTTATTTTTTCATGCTCATAAAAATAGAAACATAATAAACACAATTACAATAAATTAAGCATTATTTTTTAATGTGTGCCCAAAATGCAGTTCTACCCCCATGACGTCGCCCATCTGTTCTCTTGTCCCACTGCACACACTAATTTAAATCCAAACGACCTTTGAACTCATCTCATTGAGATAGCTAGATTTCTACGGCTGGATTCTGGTTGATTTCAATTATATCCATCCTCTCCCCTTCCTCTTATTCCATTAAGTCTAACCCTATCCACTCCCCTACCCATGTTTACGCCTTCTAATCCTTACATGTTATCTGGTTTTCAAATCCCGGCGGATTACAACAACAACAACAAGCATTAACTATAGCAGACAATTTTTTCTATGTTAAATATATTTTATAATCGTGTTTAAATTTAACTTAATTTAGTTTAAGTACTTATACGATTAAAAAGATGGTGAGAAAATATTACAAACTGTAGTTGTGTATTCATTTCAATTTTTCTACTTACGTTTCTTTTGCTTAGAATTTAATTTTTTATACATTGTCTTGCCGTAGTAAAAAGCCTCGAATTCTGAAGTTTCCTCACTGGATGACCCGTAATAATCATTTCTTTTGGCAATATCCTCAATATTATCTGCATCATTTGACGGTTGAGATCCTTTTTTTATATTTTTAAAACATCCTTCATTATCGCTATCATTTTCTTTTTCATTAACACCTGTTTTCTCATCGAAATCATAGCTTTCGGTCGTACCACCAACTTTGGTTTTTTTAATAGCACGTTCTCTCTCTGTGATTGCTTTTGCCTGATGCTGTAACTTTGAAGCAAAATAATTAAAAGCTCTCTTTCTGTTTCTATATTGCATTGCAGCGTTTTCTACGTTGTGACCTGTATATGAAGTATGTTCTTCAAAGTTATACCAATTGGTAATCTGACGAACCACCAAACCACCACTACAAACATTTCTTTCAGCAACAAAAAAAACGCAATTCTCCGTGTCTTGATCTGTCATCTCACCTTTATAATGTTCACATCCATTATTGTTCACGTTAATTTTCCATTTTTCAGCTTTAGAAATATCATTTTTTGGTACCATACCATATTTTTTGCGACGCTGCTCTTCATATTCTTTCAGATCGTAATCCTTTGTAGGAGTACTGGATTCCGTATCCATATTAAAATCACCTTCCAAGGTAACATCTTTCCATGAAGTGAATCCAGTTTTTGAACGATCATTAAACTGCATAATATGATATCCATTAGTTTCATTCTTATTTTTGTATAAACGCACTGGAAAAATAATCTCCTTTTTTACACCTTTTGGATTATTTGGCTTGCACACTGAAGCATGCGTAAAGGGCTGGAATGTATTATTCTAATTGTAAAATTATAGTAAAACTTTTTAAATCTTTAATATAGATACCTTATACATTTCTAATTTGTATTGAATTCACTTTTAATATATCACAATTTTAATTTAAAACTAAGTTCGCAAAAATATGAACCGAACACTACGACTCTCAGTTAAAACTAAAAAACTATAATTTGACGTTTAACGTTTGAAGTTTTAAGTTACCGCAATTTTTCAAAAGAAAAGGGTTTCCTAGTGCTAAAAGTAGTATATACTACGGTTAAATGAAAAACTATTATTAATTTTAATAAATTTTGCACAACCGACAATAAAAAAAAACGTGTTTGAATGATATTTAGAAGCTTTTAAGACTACTTTTTACGCTTTACAATAAATATATTTTAAAAATTTGTTAAATTTATGCATTGAAAAAAGAATTAATTTTCAAAATTCAAAAATTAAAATGATTCAATTTATGTGTTAGCCAAAAATAAAGATAACTAGATTTATAATTTAACAATAGTTTAGTATTTATCACAGTACATATGTGTTACAACATACTTATTTATAAATATGTAATTAATTTAATGTGATATTTAAATCAAATGTTAAATTGCAAATGTATCAAAAAAGCATCAAAAGTCAAAAGTTGGATTTTTATTGCACTAGCAAAACATCATTTATTATAGAAAATATTATTTTCGTGTAGCGTCTTGTATTTTCGAGAGCGTCTCGGACACGAAAAAATTGACTCTTTCGGGCTATGCCGAAA